GTTTGAGCCCCACCTGGGCAATTTACCAAGACCTAGTCTTAAAATTAAAAGGAGGCTGGACCGGGGATTTAGCTCAGTGGTTCCACCTCCTGCCTCACAAGTCCAAGGTCCCGAGTTTGATCCCGGTACCAAAAAAAAAAAAAAATTAAAAGGACGCGGGGGCTGCAGCTCAGCACAGTTTGGGCCAGGCACATTGGGCGTGGCTTACAGTGCGGCGGGCGGGAGGCCCCCGTGCGGGGGTGTGGGGTGAGGAAAAGTCCGTGGAGACTTTTCTGACTTCATCTTCCGGAACCTCGGTGGGCAGAGGCAGCCGGGAAAAGGACCCAGGTGGGTTGGACCCCGGGTGGGCAGCGGGCCGGAAGCAGGGGAAGGCCAGTTACCAGGGGAGCGGGGGCGGGCGAGGAGGCAGAATCCCTGAGCCAGAAATGGTTGGGGGAGAAGGCCCAGGGGCACCTGAGGAGGGCGGGCGAGGGGGAGCCACCCCGGAGCCCAAGGGGAGGACGGGAGTCGGGGGGGGGGGGCTTGGTGTGGGGCACCCTGCGGGGCTGTCACGCGCGGCCCGCTAGGCGCAGGTTTCCAGCCTCAGCGCAGGACCCTTCCGCCAGCCACCCTACAGCAGCTGCTGTCTGCCCCACCCCGTGCTGCGAGCAGGCCCTGCACACCCTCAGCTGAGCCGCTGCCCTTAGGCCACAGGAGTCCTTGTCCTCCTTTATTTTTTGTGGTGCTGGAACCCAGGGCCTCTGCACCGAGCTGCATCTCCACATTTCCAGCCTTATTATTTTGTTTCCCCCACACAGGGTCTCATTAAGTCACTAAATTGCCCAGGCTGGGCTTGAACTTGCAATCCTCCTGCCTCAGCCTCCCAGAACGCTGGGATAACAGGTGTCCGCCACCTTGGCTGGCTCTTGTCCTCTTGTACAGTGACAGAAACGAGGCAGAGAGGGGTGCAATGAGAACCCCAGTTCACACAGGGAGGAAGAACAGCACCAGAACTGGAGAACACACTGCAGACCCCAAGCAGCACTGCCTGTGTCCCTTCCCCTTGCTGTTATTAGACTGTTATTAGAGTGGGGAGTGGAGAAAGAGGATCTGTCCCAGTGGCAATTAGAAGAAAAAATACCAGAGATGGTGGTGCAGGCCTTTAATCCCAGTGCTCAGGAGGCTGATGCAGGAGGATCACCAACCCAGCAAGATCCTGTCTCAAAAAGTAAAATAATAAAACATGAACTACGAATTTGTAGCAGGACAGGTAGGAGTGTACAAAAGGTGGCAAAGTACTGCAGGACCTGGGTTTCTAGGGGAGAAAAATAAGCAACACCTGGGGAAGGAATGGGGCAGGGGTCCTCGCTATGCAGCAGGACCCCAGTGCCAGGCAGCTCCTCCTGGTTGAGGCCAGAAGTGCTTTTCTTTCAACCCGGCTTCAGGAGCAGGTGATGCTTTAGAGGTGAGGAGATGTTGGATGTGAAGGCAGCAGCTGGTTCCCTGCCCCGCACCAGCAGTGGGAATGAGTTCCAGATGTGCAGGGCTCCTCAAGCCCCTGGCCAGCCCTCCTCGGGCACAGGGAGCAGGCTGCTGAGCAGAGGGGCGACCCTGAGCCATCCGCTGAGTTTGCATTCATGGTCAGCCACCAGCCTGCAGGCAGGGACCCTGGCTTGGAGAACACTTGGAGAGGACTGGGGATGGCGTGGGCAGAGGCCCCCAGGCAGGGGCACAGCTCCTGGGCTTAGCTGTGTAGTGAGAGGCGCTTCCCTACATTCTCCCTGGATGGAGGCGAAGTTGCCTCAAAACCAGTGTGGCCTTGGCTAGAAATTCACATTGCCCGGACAATTCTCGGGCCTTCCCCCTTCTCCCGATGTTTTTCCCACGGCTGGGAAGCCTGCTGCTGGAAGCCAGGGCTTCAAGCCCAGGAGCAGCCCTCGCCTCTCCTTCCAAGGGAAGTCAGGCCAGGAGAATCCAAAATGAACGAGTTAGCCGGGCATGGAGTGCGGGGAACTGAGGCAAGAGGATTGCCGAGAGTTTGAGGCCAACCTGGGCTCTATAGCAAAGAACCTGTCTCAAAAGAAACAATCAAAACAAAGAGGTCAGTGGTCCAGCCAGTGCACAAGTGCCTTGCACAGTTCTGAAGCAAATGAGCAGGAGCCTGCAGGCACCTGAGTGAGGCCAAAGGAATTCAGAATCAGCCCCCAAAAGCCACAGATCCACCCTGACACACACAGGGTGAGCCAGCCAGGTGACCCTTCAGTGCCCCTGGCCTGCCCAGGAGGGCTGGACCCAGAAGGCAAAGGAGGGCAAAGGTTCTGGAGAACAAACTCAGTGAGTTGAAGGTTTTTTTGTTTTTTATTCTTTTGATGTAGCCCAGGCTGGCCCCAGACTCCTGGCTATCCTCCTGCCTCAGCCTCCCGAGGCCTGGGATTACAGGCATGTGCCACCATGGCCTGATGACCAGGTGAAAGACATTGAGGAAACCTCGCCTATGGGTTAGCGAGGGCCTTCATTTCTCCAGCCAGGCAGTGAAGCAGACCTGGCCCTCCAGAGCCAGAGCAGTGCCTACCCAAGCCACGACCCTTCCTGGGGCCAGGGTGGTACCACTTGCCGCAGCTCCAGGTGGGCAGGCAGGTGACCCAGCTGCTGGAGTCCCATGATCCTCAGGGCTCCTCCATATGGCTCTGGCCTGGGAACAGCAGAGCCTTCGTAACAGCTGTGACCGGGCACAGATGTCAGAGTGGCAAGGGCAGCCAGGTGGTACCTGGAGTGGGCAGTGACTGGGTGGGCGGAGGCAGCAGAGGGCAGCAACCCAGGGCAGCTCCCCAAACTGAGGCGCGCTCCGTGTCCTTCTGAGGTCGACTTCCCAGCACCACTATTTCTCCTGCCTGACTCTCCCAAAAGGAGGTGACCAGATGGGGGACGTGGACGCTGACATTAATCGATAGGAGCGGCTCGAAGCGGTTCCTTCAGCCTTATCTCTCCCTCCTCCGGCCCGCGTGTGTCCCTGCGTCCGGGTCGGTGATTAATAGGGGCCATCACTCACCAGGCCAGACTGGCTGAAAGGCAGTGGGGAGGGGCGGCCCTCCCCAGAACTGAGATAACAAGCAGCAGGAATAATGAGTGGTGTCATTCCACTTTTCATTTTGATGGAAAGTCATTACAGGAGTCAACGCCAGCGACAAAGAGCCATGAATCAACTGCTCTGCTATGAAATTAAAATCGAATTGCTGGCCACCCCTGGCCCCTGCCCTTCCTGGGAAACGGGATGGGTAGGCAGCTTGGAGAGGGTGCCATCCCAGCAGGAAGTGGACAGGCAGCCTGAGAAGGTGATAAGTCCTGTCCACACCTTGTTTATCAGCTTCTTCCTCCCGGACTGCAGGGAAGCCTGGCTGGACCCACGGAGCCTGCCAGTCAGCTGCTCCCTTGGGCTGTGGGCAGGAGGGGGCACCATGGGCCTGGTAATGAGATAGCAGGACCCAGAGCTCCTGGCTGAGCCATCTGCAGATAGGAAGAGGATCCCCTGTAGCACCAGAACCACAGAGGAAGTCCCTAACCTGGGCTCCATAGTAATAGCTGGTGGCCCCAAGAGGCCACCTGGATCCAGAACCCACAAAAACAGGTGCCTGCTGCAGCTGCCAGCTCAGGGAAATGAAGCGGTCAGTGTGGGAAGCTGTCAGCAAGCCGGGCATGGTGCCGCACACCTGTGATCCCAGCACTTGGGAGGCTGAGGCAGGAGGATCGCAAGGCCAGCTGGGCTACACAGAGTGCAAGGCCAGCCTGAACTACATAGTGAGCTGCCTCACACAGAAACAAACTGTCAGCAGCAAAGCGAGAGTCTTTTCCTTTTTTATTAAGTCCAACTCAACCAACTAGGAAGCTGTGGTCCACAGCAGCAGGGCCGACTGCAACAGCTCCCTGGAGACGGGTGTGTGTGTGTGTGAAAGCCAGTCATCAGGTGACGTTTCCTACTGTTGCTCTCCATGCTCCACGCTGCCGGGCTCTGGCTGGGAAGGCCTAGATGTCGGCTGGCCCCCTCCATCCAATGGCAGGTGAGGACTGGATCACAGGGAGGTCCCCAGCAAGTTCACGGGGCGCCCACCGTATCTCCTGGAGATGTCAGCTTCAATCTGTGGATAGTGATGCAATGGGCAGGAGTGGAAGTGGCAGGGCCTCGAGCCCCCAGCACCTGGCAACCCGTGGCCTCACCAGCCCCTGCAGCTCCCGGGTCTTCGCCAGCAGCAGGTCCAGCTTGGGCTCCAGCGCCGCCTGCTCCTGCAGCGCCTCCTGCTGCTTCTGCACCATCAGCTCCCTCTTCAGGGCCAGCAGCTCTGCCTGCTTCAGCTTCTGCTGCAGGAATTCAGTCACGCGGTCCACATACCTGCATGGAGCCCTGTTGAGTGTCACGAGGCCCAGGGACCCAATCCCCCAACTGGCCTCCACCTTAAGGCATTCTGGGGTGAGGAACAACAATCCTAGGTACCCCTGTGCTACTTGGCTTTTGTTTTTGTTTTTTTTTTCCCAAAACAGGGTCTTGCCATGTAGCCCAGGCTGGCCTCAAACTCACAGTGATCCTCCTGCCTTAGCCTCCCAAGGGCTAAGACCACAGGTGTGGGCCACCATGCCTGGCAACCCGTCCTCCTGGTTGGGAAGCAGGTTCCACCTGCATACGTGAACCACCCGATCCTGACCCAGAGAGAAGTCTATGCTCAGGAGAAAGTGACGTCAAAGTTGGCAGGGATGAGCTGAGGGCCATGGAGAAGAGGAGGGAGCAAGAGGGCAGGGCCCGCATCAGGGGAGCCAGACCTTGGTGAGGCCAAGATCATGAACAGGTGCTGCATCTGCAGGCTGGTGAGCTGGCCAATCAGCTCCTGCAGCGTGGACACCATGGCAACCATCTTCTCCCTGGTCTGGCCCTGCAGGATGGCAGGAGCCAGCTGGAACTGGCTCACCGACAGGATGTCGGCCTCCTCACCCATCTCCACTGCTCTCTGAGACAGGAAGATCTCGAGCTGCAGGCAGAGGAGGAGGGAGTTCGGACCAGGAAGCAAATTCAGAAAGGCAGCCCCAGGTCATTCCAATGTGCATCGTGAGGGCCACACTCCGGGTGAAGCAGGGTCTCCTCCGGATACTGTTGTTGCTAGAAACTCAACAGCTGCGACCTAAGAGCAGGGGACACAGGCCACAGCCCCCATCTTCCCAAGCCCAGGAACCCTGGCCCCTCTCACCGCTCCTCCTTAGCCATGGGATCCAATGTCACCACCCATGAGGTCTCAGCTCAGAACCTGCCCCAACCCGACAGCTTCCTGGTGCCCTGAGTCAACTCAAAGCCCACCCACCTCTCTGCCCCCGTCCACTCCCCAGTTCACTTTGCTTAGCCTAGCAGCCTCCTGTGGCCCATGTGGGCAGTACGTCCACATCTGTACCCTGAGCCCCAGCCGTGAAACTACAGGCTTCCCGGCATCCTGTGTTTCTCGGCGCCATCTCCCATGCAGCACTGTCGATTCCGGTCGGCCTTTCCCACCGGGACCTGAGCTCCTGGGGTCAAGGACTCTGTCTCATGGGCCGGAGACTGGCAGGACCCCCGGTGACAGGAGAGGACAGGGAGGCGACTAGACAGGGTGTCCTCCATGCCCCCAGGAAGGCCCTCCGGGTGACAGAACCTCCATGAGCTCGTCGATGAACTGGTTCCGCGTCTCCGGGAACTCCAACAGACTCAGGGCGTCTGGGCCTCTGGCCACACCTTCTGGGGCTACCGGGAAGGGACAGAGATGAAGAAGGGTATGGGCACCAGGGCAGGGGTCTGTTTTCCTCCCTCAAGCTGGAGAAGCCCTGGGGGGGAGACTATGGCCACAGAAGCTGCACTAAAGCCACTCTGCCGGGGGTGGGGGTGGCCCAGTGAAGCCCCCTGCCGTCTCCAGCCGGCCTGGACCCCAGCTCAGCTCTGCTGGCGGCAGTGGGAGGCAAAGTGCCGTCCTGCACTGCCCTCTAGTGGACAGCCTCTCTGCTGCCAGGGACTCGGTAAACCGCGGAGCTTGCCGCCCTGCTTCTGCACTCACCCTGGGTCCCCGCCTCCAGCACTGTGATCTGCAGAGCCACAGGGTCGGCGTCGCCCCAGTCTACCCCGTCGCCCCCCAGTTCCTGCATGGACAGCAACAGAGCCAGTGAGGTTGGGAGAATTCCCGGCCAGGGGAGCCAGCAGAACAGGTTCAAGGACGGCTTCCTGCCCACAGTGAGGTCTGCAGCCCTGGTGGTGACATAAGTGGCAGTGCAGGCTTGGCTGTGCTGCCACCCTGCTGGTCAGGTTACCACCCTGCACCAAACCCCAGGCCAAAGGAGACAGGGTTTCACTATGTAGCCCAGGCCCGCCTCGAACTCACGGCGCTCCTCCTGCCTCAGCCTTCCAAGCATTAGGATTACAGGTGTGCACCACCACACCCAGCCTCTATCTCTTTTATACTTGAACCGCATCTGCCCTTGAAGGCATGAACTTGGAGCGATGCCTCCACAGACACTGACAACTCTTTCTACAGCTGAAGGGAAGCCCAGAGGGCCTCGGGGACAAGAGGCTGTCCTAACCTTGGACTCTGAGTCCAGGGAGATGCCCCAGTTGATGCCAGCAGCCTCAGCAGAGATGCCAGGGTCCAACTCCACCCCAAAGTCGCCCCAGTCGATCTGGAAGGTGAACACAAGGTGAACACGGTTGGCCCAGGCCAGTGGGGGAAGGAGGCTGCCCTGCAGGCCTGGGCTGCTTCTGCAGGGAGAGAGAGGTCAGCGTGACAACCCTGGGCCCAGGGAGGAGAATGGTTTCAGGAACTCCCGCAACCCAAGGGCTCCTGGTGCGGCTCCAGCCCTCGCCCTCACCCGGCTCTGGTCTCAGGAAGGCCAGGAACCAGGGAGCAGCACCCTCTGCTGCCCTCTCTCCCAGCTGGGGCTGCCCTTACCGCATCCTCCTCCACCGGCTCGGGAGGCTCCTCCAGGCTCGGCCGCTCCACCACGGTGGGTTCTGTGCCCGTCCTCCACTCATATACTGTCGAGTTTCCCCGCCGCTGCACGAACCGCAGCATGGGCAGCACCTGCTCTTCTGAACTACAGGAGGCACAGCACTGACCCTCAGCCTGGCCGCACCACTAGGGGCACAAGGCTCCCAGGCCCAGCGGGGACAGCACAGCCATGGGTCATGTGGGAAAATATGAGTGGAGGCCAGGATCAGTGGCACACGCCTCTCATCCCAGCACTCGAGAGGCTGAGACAGGAAGATCCCCACAAGTTTGAGGCCAGCCTGGGCTACACAGTGAGACCCTGTCTGACAACAAAGGAAAACACAAGGGGAGGGGGAGGGGAGCCCGGGAGAAGGGAAAGCAGCAGCCTGCTGGGCCCCGTACCTCTCACATACGAAGCCCACACAGGCCTGGTACAGCTCGATGGCTTCACCCAGGGACTGCGCCCCCACCCCAATCTCGGTCAGCTGGCTCGGCAGGTCCTTGATCAGGGCCAGCAGCTCCCTCCGGACGTTGTCTCCCTATATGGGGGACAGGAGGAGGACTGAGAGGGATGGGGTTGGAGGCAGAGTCCAGAGGTGAGGCCAAACATCCAAAGGCCACCAAAAGGCCAGGCGCAGTGCAGGGCGGGAAGAGGATGGCGAAGGATGTGCGGCAGCCTTGGGCTGGAGACCCTGGCCCCAGCCCCTGCGCATGCGCACCGTGATGCCGTACTGCTTGCACGCATGCCGGAAGTGCTCTCGCTGAGAGGCTGCCCCCGCCAGGCCCTCCTCCTCCTTGCGGCTGTACTCGCGCTGCAGCTGCTGGCACTTGGTGATCCGCTTCCTTAGGGAGGGCAGCTCGTAGTTGATGTTGCGAACCAGGAGGCTGCAGAGTTCCACTGCGAGGGACCTGGTTAGTTCACCCACCCGGGGAATCTGCACCCTGAGGCGAGCCCGCCCCAGAAGCCCCTGTGTGGTGGATGTGGGTTAAGGGCACCTCCAGCCCTAGGCGGGGTGACGGGGACAGTGTTTACCATGTGGGTCCACTGAAACACCAGGCGGCACAATCCTTGCATTTAGGTGCATGGGAATTATTAGTGATTATCATTGTCTTTTTTAATTTTTTTTGGGGGGGTACTGGGGATCAAACTTGGGACCTTGTGCTTGCGAGGCAGGTGGCGGAACCACTGAGCTAAATCCCCAGCCCCTCTATCTTTTTCTAAGACAGGGTCTCACTAGGTAGCTCAGGCTGGGCTCAAACTCAGGGTGATCCCCCTGCCTCAGCCTCCCCGTGTGATGGGGTGATGAGTGTGCACCACCATGCCCTGCTTGGAATTGGTTCTCTCAGCTATGAATAGGCAGGTTCTTCACTCCAGCCCCTTCCCACACCCAGACTAAGCTTTTCATACGCCCAGTGTCTTGGCACGTGGGGAGTGGGTTTCCCATGGATGCCAGAGCCACTCTGGGGCCAATTTACCTAAGTAGGTGTTGTCCTTCTCATACAGGGCTACGATCTCCTGCCAGTCCTGAGGATGGAAGAAGGAGTCAGCCAGAGACACACGTGGCAGCCACCTCACAGCTCAGTTGGGGCACAGGGAGGCTCTGCCCTGCTCCTCACACTGGCTGGGCTGCCCAGATGAAGACTGTGGGACCAGGCTTGCTGGTGCCTATCTGTAAACCCAGCTACTTGGGAGGCTGAGGCAGGAGGATTTTGAGCTTGAGGCCAGGTTGAGCTACCCAGGAAGAACCTGTCTCAAGAGACTAAAAGCTGGGGACATAGCTCAGCACTCCCTGGGTTCAACTCCTAGCACCACAAGAAAACACCCAGCCCTCTTGACCAGAGGCGCTGACCCATGGACGAGATGTCCCCAACTGTTCCCTGCAGGCCCTTGCCACACTTGCCTTCATCCGCTGGGAAGAGTACCGGCCAAATATGTTCTTTGTGGAGGCCTCAGTGCCTTTGAGAAGATCCACAATCCTCAGGCAGTGGAAGTAGTGAATGTCTAGAAAGCAAGGCAGAAGGAATTTGGTTTTCTTTCTCTTTTTTGTAGTACTGGGGATCAAACCCAGGGTTGCTCTGCTGCGGAGCTATGCCCAGCCCTTTCAGTTCTGAGGCAGGGTCTCACTATGTTGCTCAGGCTGGGCTCAAACTGGCGATCTTCCTGCCTCAGCCTCCCTAGGGCTGGGATTACAGGAGTACAAGAGTGAGGGCTTTGGGGATTTCTCTGGCCGATGCAGGTGGCTGCCTGCCAGCAATGTGAGCATGAGAACCCCCTCCATCATTCTGTTAGAAAAACCAGCATTCATACCCCAGGTAACCTCCCCTTCTGGGGTCAGCCCTGGTGGCTAAAGGGGGTAGTGCCTCAACTCCCTGCCCAGGCAAGAGGGGACCTGGTGACAGCCCGAGAGCACTCACAGGACCCAGAGAGCAGCTGGGTGATCTCCTCGCTCTCTGGCATGTCCTGGATGGCAGTGTTGATCTTCTCCCGGATGGTCAGGACCAGGCTCTGCCATTTCAGGTTGCAGTGGCGCCGGTCCACCAGCCAGTCTGCAGGGGAATACCCAGAGCACAGCTGCCTCCACCACCCAGCCACCTTGCTCTGCAATGCCACAGGCCTGGGATCCCAGTACTCGGGAGGCTGAGGCAGGAGGATCGCCTCGAATGTGAGGCCAGCCTGGGCTACACACCAAGACCATGTCTCAAGACAGACAAACAAAAAACTTGCATCACTAATTCAGCTGGAACATGCTGATATTGGTAAAAAGCTGTCCTCATATCGGTTAAGGTATGGGGGTGGGTTCCCAGGAAGATCAGAAGGAAGAGAGGCACCGAGAGAGGCCTGGGGCTAAGACTCCAGCGGCCTAACTTTATCCCCTGCAGCATGGTTTGTTGTTTTTTACAGAGCAATTGCCTCAATATGGAGATAAAGAAAAACCGAATTGGTCCTGACATGAGGTCCTGACATGAAAGCGCCTCTTTTGACCATTCTAAATTCTCCACAATACTTTGTTTCTTGAGTAATTATATCTTTCCTGTTGACAGAGGCTGCTGCCCGACTTCCACCTCCTGGGGCTGGGATTAACCGAGACAACGCAAAACACAGGCGGCTATGCCAAGAACCAGATGAATGAGCAACTGCAAAGACCCTAATACCTCCAGCGCCCTAAGGACTGGATAGGGAACACCAGGCTTGTTTTTTTTTTTTTTTTGAAACAGAGTCTCCCTACGTAGCTCAGGCTGGCCTCCAACTCACAGCGCTGCTCTTGCCTCAGTTTCCTGGGTGCTGGGATGGCAGGTGTGCACCACCATGCCCAGCTTCACACTGCATTAGTCTTAAAAGTGCAGACCCACCCTGTACGTGTGACTAAACCGACCTCAAGGGGTGTGGGCTTTAGAAACATGCGCATTTTCTCTGCAGATGACCTCTGTAGATGGTCCTGGGTTTTTTTTTTTAAATAGTAAGTAATCCTTTATTTTTTGCAGTATCAGGAATCGAACTCAGGACCTTTCACTTGCAAGGCAGGTGCAGTGCCACTGAGCTACAACCCTGGCCCCCTGGGCTCTAATTATCAAGTTTCTTAGCAAAGTCTCTCTACCACTCTGCCTGTTTCCCAACATGTAAAATGGGCATAGTAATAGCAGGGTGTGGTGGTACATGTCTGTAATCCCACACTCAGGAGGCTGAGGCAGGAGGATCGCCACAAATTCAAGGCTGCCCTGGACTACATAGTGAGTTCAAGGCCAGCCTGAACTACCTTGTGAGACCGTCTTAAAAAACCAAAGCTGTGCATTCCCTGAAGTGGTTGGAAGGAAGAGACCCCTCCCTGGTGCTAAGCCAGAGGTGGCTTGGCCACCAGAAACTCTCTATGCTCAACTGAGTCTTGGGGTCCTTATTTCCCTACAATAAAGATGGAAGCTTTTGTTTTGTTTTTCTTTTTTGGTACCGGGGATGGAACTTTGGACCTTGCGCTTTCAAGACAGGCACCGGAACCACTAAGCTAAATCCTCGGCCCGGGGTTTTTCTTGTATCTTTTTTTGGAAGCTTTTTAAAGGTCAGTTTTTAAAAATTTTTTTCCTGGCACAAACCAAGAAGCATGCACATTTAGTCATACTAAAGCTCCAATTGACATCTGCCACTTACTTACTGACCACCCTTAAATAAGCCATTTATCTCATCCCTAAATGATATTTACTTACTTATTTTTTGAGACAAGGTCTCACAAGCTGGCTTTGAACTCACTCTGTAGCTTAGGCTGGCCTCAAACTTAAGACAATCCTCCTGCCTCAGCCTCCTCAGTGCTGGGATTACAAGCATGCGCCACCATGCATGGCCTACTTTTCTTTTTCTTTGGCATTACTGGGAACTGAACCCAGGGCTTTCACAATCAGCTACATCCCCAGCCCTTAAAAAAAAAAATTTAGGGGCCGGGGATTTAGCTCAGTGGTTCCGCCGCCTGTCTCGCAAGCACACGGACCCGAGTTCGATCCCCGGTACCAAAAAAAAAAATTTATATTTTGAGACAGAGTCTTACTAAGTCGCTAAATTCCTCAGGGTGGGCTTGAACGATCATCCTGCCTCAGCCTCCTAACGTGTTGTGGCCCTGAATGACATGCTTTGGTAATGCGCATGCTACAGATGTTAAAGCAAGAAAGCGCAGGTCCAGCACAGACTCCACATAGGTCCTTCGGGCTGCTCTTGGCGAGACAGGTCCGGCCACAGAACGAGGCTGGTCGGCGCCTCCACCCAGGCGCTCGGGGCCCCGCTGGCGACAGGGGGCAAAGGGCACCGGCGCGCGGGGCGCCCTCCTACCGAGCAGCTTGCCGGTCTGGATGTCGATGGGCACGTGCTGATGGTCCTGGGGGGGACAGGAGGGGACGCGGGCGTGAGCGCGGCCACGTCCCGGCCCGGCCGCCACCCTGCAAGGCCAGAGCGACGGGCCGAGGAGACCTCGGGAACCAGGATTCCCCGGCCAGGATCCCGCACCCGGAGCTCCATCCCCACACCTGCATCTTTCCTCCACTTCCGCTTCCGCCACGGCCAATCCAGAGTTCAGAAGCAAACAGGTCTCTTCGGCCACGTCACTGCCTTCAGCAGAGCCAATCCGGGCGCACGCACCACCCGCTGGGGCAAGCTCCGCCCACCTCAAGGCTCCCCCTGGCTGAGCCCTTAAGGGCGGGAAAACACAGGCCAGCCAATGGAAGCCGGGAGGCGGGCTCTGGGCCGGGAAGGGGCGGGACGCCCGGAAAGAGCTGCAGGGGCGGGATGGCCACGGTAGGTGGCGCCCAAGAGCCAATCCCGACAGCTTCTTCCCCAGGAGGGCGCGGAACCCCTCTGGGCGGCCCGGGATGGTCCTACCGCCGATCACTTCCCTGCTTTCCTCTCTACCATCTACAGCAGCTGTTGCTGTCCTGGCGCTCTTGACGCTTTCCCTTCCCCTTCTGTTTATCTAACAGACCCAGGCCGAGCGCTGCCTTCAGGATGTGCGATTGGGACAGGGCAAAGTGGAAGGGAGATGCCCCAGATGTGGAACGTACACTGGGTGTTTTACACACACACACACACTCACACACACACAGGGTCTCACTATGTGGTTCAGGCTGGCTTTGAACTCATTATGTAGCTCAGGCTGACGGCCGGATAATCTCAGCTCTTGGGAGGCTGAAGCAGGATCACTGCGAGTTGGAGGCCAGCCTGGGCTACATAGTGAGTTCAAAACCAACCTGAACTACATAGTGAGATCCTGTCTCACAGGAAAAAAATTCTTAAAAATATGGTGCAGGGCCAGGGATTTAGCTCAGTGATTCCGCCGCCTGCCTTGAAAGTGCAAGGTCCCGAGTTCGATCCCCGGTACCAAAAAAAAAAAATGGTGCAGGTCCTGCATCAGTCTGCAGCCAGCCTCTGGGCAGTTGGGAGGGGGGTTTAGAGAGAGGAGAGGTCAGGTCCAGCCGAGCTTCATTCAGGAAGGTGGGCACCCACCCACCTCCAACCCTGCAGATAGAAAAACCCCTGGAGGACTAGGAGGCTGAGGCAGGAGGGCCTGGTACAGACTGGCTTCAAGGAAGGTGGGCCGTGGGAGGTGAGACTGGAGAGACGCTGGAAGGAAGTTGTTCTCCACAGGCTCGGGCTTGGCCAGAAGGAGCAGAAGGTTTTGGCGAGGGGAAGGGCAGGTTTGGGGGATGTGTAGAAGGGCGATGAAGGGGATTCGGCTGCCCCAGGGACAGGTGGCAGGGAATGGGGACTGGCAATGCCAGGCGCCCCGGTGGGAAGTGTGTCAAAGGCCTCGTGTCTAAAGCTGTGGGATGCAGGGTGTTGTGGGCTGGCTGAGCTGCAGCCGGGGGCAGGTGTGACATGGACAAGGAGTGGCCGAGGGAGTTGAGAGGGCACGGAGATTCCTGGGGACCTCACTGAGCTGGACACCCCGTTTATGACCCCGCCTAGACGGAGCTGCTTGATGTGAAGCTATGGTCGGTCGGAAGACCTAGATTCCCACCCTGGAACCCTGGACCGTTTCCTTAACACTCAGACGGCCACTGCTTCCTCCACGTGGAGATGACACCTCTCACATCTCGGGATTTCTGTTCAGAGCCTTCAATAAGCAAACAGACTCGGTGGGTGTTGTGGGTCACACCTGTAACCCCATCACTGGAGAGGCTGAAGCAGGAGAATCACCATGGGTTCAAGGCCAGCCTGGGCTACATAGTGAGACCCTGTCTCCAAAAAATAAAAATAAAAATAAATATTAAACATCCTAGATGAACATAACTCTTTACAATTTGTGATGTCGGGGATGTTGGCGCACCCCTGTAATCCTAGTACTTAGGAGGCTGAAGCAGGAGGATCACTCTGAGTTCCAAGTCAGCCTGGGCTACACAGTGAGACTCTATCTCAAGACAAACAGCAACAAAAAACCAAACCAAAACAAAAAAACAAAAAATACAACTCAACAAATTTCAGGTGGGTGTTCTTATACTTTAGAACCTGTGTATAAAACCTCTGACGCCTTCTTCAAGATTGAGCCAGAGCTGAGCGCCTGTCAGCTCTCGTGGGAATCTGGCTCTGACCTCAGAGCCTGACTCAGGCAGGAGGAATTGGACAGGCTCCCCCAGTACTAAACAAACACTCCACTCACAGGGCTCCAGCTCTGTGCGGCTCTCAGGGACACCCCAAGGGGCTTGGCGCTGCCCCACCCTGAATCAACAGGTGGGGCACAGCAGGGTGGGGTAAGACGACCCCGGCCCTTCGGCGGCTCCCATGCTGCCCAGGTGGCTTGGAGGCAGCAGAAGGATGTTTCAGAACAGTTACTTATTGATTTTTTTGGTACCGGGGATCATGCTCGGTTCCTTGCACTTCCCAGGGAGGCGGCAGAACCACTGAGCTAGAAGTCTCACTGTGTAGCCCAGGCTGGCCTGGAACTCCCTCCCAGCGATCCTCCTGCCTCCACCTCCCTAGTGCTGTGATGAAAGGCAGTGGTTGTGATGAGTGGAGCCCGTGCCGCTTGGTCCCCAGCTCCTTTCCTCAGCCCTCCCTTCACAGCTCAGGCCACAGCGTCCACCCCCTGACACGGGTTGGTCACCCCCGCGTAGCACGCAGGCAGCCCAGGGCGGTCCTGGCTCTGCTCCCGCTGAGGGCCGCACCCTCAACCTTGTCCGGCCCCAGCGCCTGCCCTTTCACCTTCCTGAGTCATCCGGAAACAACTCACTGCGCGCTGTGTGTCGTCTCCCAGGATACCACGGTTGTTTATCCCCACCCGAAGCGCCGGGAGGGGGTCAAGGCCCGTCCTGGGAGGCCCACGCTGGCCCCGCCCTCTGCCCAGGCGCTGGGATCTTCCGTGCCAAGACTCGACCCCGAGGGCGAGGGCGGGGTGGAGGGCCACACACCCCGCGTCCCAGGGCGCCCCAGGCCTCGCCCTGGCCTCACGCACAGCAGGATCACACCTGCGATCCGAGCACTCAGGAGGCTGAGGCCGGAGGAACACCACAAGTTCAAGGCCAGCCTGAACTACATAGTCAGACTCTCAAAAAATCAAAAATAATAAAAATTAAAAATTCCACATGAACCATGTCCAGAGTTCTGGGGGCCCAGGAAGGAGTGAGTGTCCAGTTCAACTCAGGCCTGAAGGCGCCGGGAGAAGCACGTGGGCCAGATGAGTGTGAATGAAGGTGTAAGGAAGAGGGGACAGGAGGAGGGGCCGTGGCGAGCGCCATTCAGGGAAGAGGGAAGCCAAGGGCCCAGAGGTTTATCACAAGACCATGGATGTCTATGGAGAGATCACAGAAAAATTATTTATTAGTAGTAGTTTTTAAATTTTTCATGGTACTGGAGTTTGAACCAGGGGCCTGACGCATGCTAAGCAAGTTCTATACCACTGAGCTACATCCCCAGCCTATTTATTATTATCAATCTTTTGAGACAGGGTCTCACTCTGTAGTCCAGGCCTTGAATTCATGGCGACCCTCCTGCCTCAGCCTCCAGAGTGCTGTGATGACAGGTTGGCATCACCTCGCCAGGCTCAAAGAGTGCCACTCAGCCAGAACAGGTTTCTCTTTTTTTCTTTTCTTTTTGGGTACCAGGGATTGAACTCATGACCTTGCGCTTTCGAGGCAGGCGCAGTGCCCTGAGCTACATCCCCAGCCCTGCAAGGACACGCTTCTGAGGACGCCCACCCCCCTTCCCCTGTGAGCGGGGTGCTGGCTCGCGCCTGGCTGGCTTCAGAAGCCTCGCTTGGAGGCACAGCCGCGCTTGGAAGCACACGTTTCCCCAGGCTGTAAGGCAGCGGAGCGGGAGCGGGAGCGGGGG